TGTCCATGGAACTACGTAGGTGGCTCCCTGTCATTGCGGCCATCCACATGGATACGTTGGGGCTGCAGGGGCTACGATCTTGAAACACCATTTTGATTAGGGCCACAGTTCCAGGTATACCATACTCCTTGGAATTGAGTTCTTTGGACCTCCCCGATCGATAGCCACCTCATTTCTGCACGTTCGATGCAGGCTTCCCGCATGTTTCGCGCCCCCTCTAACGCGATCCGTGCAAAGTCCTCGTTTCCGGCGCATACCCATAGGATGACATCGTGGTCATTGCCGTTCTAGGATCGGAATTTGCATTGTTTCTGGAGCAATGCCGGAATTGGCAATATAGCAACAATTTGATCTTTCGAGATATGAACCTTATTAGAAGAGCAACTCTCGCACATATCGATGTTCTTTTGCTGTGGTGGAACAAACTATAAGTTATCTTGCTGAAAATAAGCGAATGAAAACCGTGTAAATTATGTTGAGAATCACAGTGTCTTGCATCTTAACATAATATATGTAGACATTGTTCTAAATGAGTTAAGCATAGTATAACGTTAGTTAGCCCACTGATAATATGATGTTTGTTCCCAATAACCGCCACCTAATCAGGAAGGCTCCCACTCCAGCCCCATAGCAGCTCTCTCTCATTCCCCTCTCATCACCTCAAGCTCCACCAATTTCATATTCCATTATCTTGACTGACAATACAGCGAGAAGAGCCATCTCCCCTAGCTTCCCCGTGCAAGCACCAGCTGGTACACTGAATTCGAGTTAACGGGGTTCGATATGCCTGGTTTTGGAGAAATAGACATTTCCGACAATACAATTCCGACAATACATTTCCTCCTCTGACACTGCATCCGGACATTTGGCCTGGATAGACTCATTTCCGAAACACGGCCGAGGATCTCATCTGATGCCCTGTCAATGGGGCGTCAGTGCTCCAGCTAGGGCGACGATTCCATCGAGGATCTTCCGGGCTTAGTCCTCATCCCAAGTCCATCAACAGGATAAGCACAAGGCATAAGTCTTTTTTACGTAGATCACGTTTCTCAAGCGTCCATGAGGTGGTGCATTACCACAAAGCCCTTGATCTCGGGGGTCTTTCACATTCGCACCGGAGGTATGTTCATCAACAAGACGGCGGATTATACCCAGAAAGTTGTTGGGAGAATGCGAGTCAATGTGCTTATATATCACAATTCCATCACCCGGCTGTGTACATAGCCGTGATATGTTTCGTTGTTTTACCATCGTGATATCTTGCGTCCGCGAGTAGAGACTTGGGGGGTAAGACCATATTCGGCATTTAACAGAGAGGAGCGATGTTTGATTGGTACTTTGAGAACTCTTCATGAGGAATGATACCGTGGCATGTAACCAGCCAGCCGGGTCAGAAAGTCGATCTGCATTTCATCCTTGGGCACCCCTGTGCTGTCTGCCAGTATGTTTGGCAAGCAGATCCAATAGCGGAATACAACCGGTGGTTGCATAGGGCGAGACAAGCAAGATCGGTGGTTGACAAGGGCCCCGGTATCAGGTAAAAGATCCAAGAAGAAGATAGGCTAAAGTCGGTGGCCTTGGCTTCGTCTATGACCTTAGGGGTATCAAGATATACTGCGTAAAGGCAAGCTTGATAGGGCGGTGCCCCTCTTCCCTTCAGTAGAATGCCTAGCCAATACTTGAGACAAAAGAATAGATTGTAGAAATGGCCGAGGGGCAATAATACCAGAGAAGCAACGGATCGTGGGAGTGATATTGTGGTGCAAAAATAATCTTGAGCGAGGGCACGTTAGCTTTTCATGTATTTCCCTATATTGAACGTGAAATGGTTGATTCCAAGCAGCCCTGATATCAGTGTCCTATAAGCACTCGGCTTGATATCATTAAGATGTTGCTGCAGTTGAAGGGAGTTCGCCTAAGCAAATCTCAAGACGGTATTGAGCACAAGAAGTATGTCCAGGCACTAAAAATGTCACCACGTGACTTACACGTGATGCAAGACGAGGGGAGTCAGGTAGGGATATAAGTTAGAACCCAAGGGACAGTGATCCAGAGTTTTATATTCAGTTTACCAATGATCACACCTCTCAGGGCTGTATAGTGAAGTTGATGGGAAGCTCCAATAAATCCAGGGGAATTGGGATGACATCGCCCACTCTAGTCTGCTTAGGTGCCTAGGTAAGTGGATCGGAATCTGCATACCTGATTGTTTCTACGGCAATGCCGGAATCCGCAGACGAAACATTTTTCAGAGCAAAAGCCGAAAGCCTCAAGTGGGAGATGGGATAAGGACTGGATAGATCAGATTTCCGTAACAGCTAGCTATGGTTATGCAGCTTGCCTCTACTAGTAGGAGAGTAACGCAGTAGAAAAGGGGAATAGAGACACAAATGTACAATCAAAAGATAACTTATCAATGTAGCAATTTGATTGCAAGTCTCGGCTAGAATAAGAAAAAGAAAAAGAAAACAAAACGGCATGTCCCTTTCTCTTTGACGCATGTAACTTTGCCCAATACGTTCAAGTGGCACACTTCTCCAGTAGTCAATCTCGGCTCCATCGCGCCAATTGGCCCTTCTTTCTCAGCCCTTGCTCCTACAACACTTGAACCCCCATTCTGCTCTTGCTTGCAAAGGGGTTCTCCTCCTTGTCTCTCGTTTTGCCATTTCGCCATCATGACTCTTTCACAGCCTGGCTCGGCTGAAAAAACAATCCGCAAAATCGATATTGCCCAGGTAAGGAAGGAAGTCAAGCCTTGTCTTTTGGGGTGCAATTATGGCCTAAATGCTTGTCGCTGGATGCGAATACCTCCACGTAACCTTGTGAGCATCGACTGACTCTTTTCTGCGCCCAGGTTTCCCTCAGTCTGCAAGATCGGTTGGGTCTGGCCAAACTCAAGTATCAGCATGGTCGACTGCATGGCCTGAACCCGAACCAGCAAGATGGCAGATCTACTTTTGACAGTGACAAACCCTCCGACTCCTCCTCTGAGTTCTCCCGCAGTCGATGCGAGACTCCCTTCACCTCCCCTCCCCTCCGAGCGGCAACCTACTCCAAGGAACTCCCTCGATCCGCCCGCAATAAACATGCAGCCACATTCAACTCTCGAGTGATGCAGCCCATGTTGTCGGCTAGTCGAAAGCGTCTGCGGTCGGATTCTGATTCTGAACGTCCTACCAAGGCCCCTCGGGTTTCATGGAAGAGTTCTTACCGGCTGCCAGAATCCTCTCCTGGCATGCACCGGCACCTTACAAGCCGCCGCCAGGCCCCCTCCTTCATGTCCGAGGCCACAATTCCAGAGCTGTCATCTCCAGTGTACCACAGACGGTCAGAAGAGAGGGACCCAGATCTGCCGCTGCACAGTTTCCAGAATATGAGCTCAATGGTGGGCTCCTCCCCTCCACGGACCCCTCCCCCCAAGCACATGCGACTGTCGCGCAACGATCGGCCGCATCACGAGGATGGCGCAGATTTGCTCCTGTACCTGGCCAACTCCCCGACCCCTGCTCGGATTGCAAGGGGCGCTGGAAACCAGGCTTTCCCTCCTTCGACCCCTCCCAGCCAACACGCAATGCTGCCAGGCATGACCCCCACAACTGGAGGTGGCGGTATGTTTGCCAATATCGGAACCCCAGGTCAGCAATTCAACTTCGCCGACTTCGTGAATGTGACCCCCAGCCCGGCTCAGCCAGCTTGGGGTGGCCGCACCCCTGGCAATCCTGGTCGCACGCCGCTCACCACCAAGCAAGCTCGAAAGCGATTGAACTTCGATGCCATTGTGCCCCCGAGCACCTCTGATCCTCGCATGGGTGGCAAGGAAACCGGGCTGGCTTTGCAGCTCGGCGGCGAGCTTCGCCCTTGAGCCTCTACACTTCTCCCCCTCTCCTTTTCTCTGTCCATTTACGCCTTTACTCCCTTGTAAGCCCCCTTCACGACTTTATTATGATCATGTTATGTACACATTGTGTCCATCCCCTATGTAATTTGCCCCTTGTCTCTTTGGAGAGCCCGGTCTTTTCGAAGACAGACCTGGCTCTCTACTACCCCGTCCATCCAAACTTGCATTCACAGGCGTTATCTCTTCAATGCTTTGCTTCTGTGTTTTGCATTGCCTCTCATTCCTCAAGGCAGTCACAAGCCTTGCCCTTTTCCCTTTTTTTCTTTGTCTGTGCCAACCCTGTCCCCCGACATGTCCACCTTGCATTCTCATATCTTTTCTTTACACCCGGCATATACTGCCCATGAAACACGGGATTCCCCAATCCCTCAACGAACTTAGCTAATATGCCCGTTGGTTCTATCTTTGCAAAAATGCGCGATAGCTGGGATGGTCAATGTTCATTATTGAAATTCAAATGCGCACTACTTCGCATATTTGCAATCCAGCTCCACATATTCGCGTCCGTATACAGTAAAACAGTATCATAGTAACACAAGTGGTCTGTATTAAGCTATAAATCCCCATCTTGAAGAACATCTACGATGAGCTAGCATTCCACATACCTCGCACACACTGAGTATATATATCCCCATCACGTCCAAATTTACTCAACCGTCAAATCTCAACACGATCACCAAATACGCGGTCAACCCCTCAATTGTGCGGCATCCAGTCCAACCGCGTTCTTTCGCGTCACTTTCGCGTTCAAAGTTAATAGACTTTCAGCCAATCAGAGCAGATTATAAGCCTATGACGCAGCCTGAATCTGACTAAGCACGCGAGAGCCCCAGAGTACTTCAGCACTTCTTAGCGAATGAGATAAGTTACATCTGCATGATCCTGGAAGAGAAATGACCTCGGCTATCGATTGGCTGATATGGCGCCGTGTCGACATGGACAGTCGTGGCATGATATTCAGCCATTCAACCGAACCAGCTGAAACAAGCCTGCATGGCGCAACACGGCCTCATTATGTGTATAAGATAGACAAATTATATCGACAGATCGCATGCTCAGTCCTGATCTACATGCATTTGTAAAGTTAACTACTTAACTACAACTATTCTTCCACGCCGACCTGATCATCCAGCCCGTCCTTCCCAACCCCACTATTTTCTACACCAGCACGTTCCATTTGCTTGCGCCATAGTAGTGCCAGATAGTCAGATGTCGTAGCCTCATCGATAGACTTATCCTCACGGACCTTGAGAAATCGTGGAAATCGTAGACTCAGACCTCGCTCATCGCTGACAAGCCCGATGGCTGCTGGATATGTCGGGCTCAGCGTGATATCGGCAAAGGCCATTTCCCATACTTCCTGCGGCTCGAACCAGACGTCTGGTTCACCGTAGTATTCGACATAGCTGGGCCGAGAAATGACGTTCGTGCTACCTTGGACGTATTTGTCTTTGTTGGATTGGTAGAATTTGTCGGTGAAGCCGGATATGCATTTTGTTACGGCTTCTAGAGTGCCGGTTTCCGGGTTGCGGACTGCCAGGAGGATTGGAGACCACCATTTGGCTTTGCGGCCTGAGCCATGCCAGCCTGCGACTGGGATTAGGTCGAGGGTATCTGAGGATGTGCTGTAGTCCTTTTTCACTTTGAGCCAGGATTCGAGGCGTTTGTCTGGTTCGTAGGTTGAGAGGAGGGCTTTGCGGCGAGTGCTCTTTTCTTTAGACTTGCTGCCGTTTTTTGGTTCTGGTGGTTCTTGGATGGCGTCCTCGGGGTCTGCTTCTTCGCTGGTTGTTTTGGTGTTGTTTTGTTGGGCATCTGCCGCTGTGTTATCGAGTACTTTCACCATGATGCCCTCGCACTTGACATCAGTGGCACCTTTGAAGAACTCAAGCACGGTTTCAGAATCTGCCGATGTGGCGTCCATGCTTTTGACCCAGGTAAAATGCTTGGGTATTTCAACAAAGAGACTGTGGAGGAGTTCGCGACGCTCTCGGAATGGTCGATCTAGCAAAGGCTCGCCATTGAGATACATGAGGTCGAATGCAAAAAGACACACATTAACCTTGATAGCACCGATCTCAACATTCTTCTTCGCACGATTGGTCAGTGTCTGGAATGGCTGAAGGTCACCAGTTTCCCGGTCCACAGCAACCACTTCTCCCTCCAGGATAAAGCTAGACACGCCTTCTCCCCGGATTTGCGGGACCAAAGATACAAGATCCGGATATTTCTCTGTCATGAGCTCGAGATGGCGCGAGAAAATGGAGACTTTCCCTTGCTCATCGCAGTGTACCTGCGCGCGCTGTCCGTCATACTTGTATTCGCAGCTGAAGCTTCTTCCTTGCAGTTTTGTCAACATGTCCGACAGATCTCGCGTGATGCTACCCAGCATTGGTCTCAATGGAATGTGCAAAGCCAGGCCACATCTAACCAAAAGCTCCTCTGCAGGTCCAATCTCCAGCAAACATGGAATGAGATCGTTATAATTCGGGTGCCTGGCATAGGAAGCTTTCACAATCTCTTCCGCATTGTTGTAGATTTCGGCCAGCTCGTCCTTCTTTAAGCGAGCCAATTCGTTCTGTGGCCGCACTTGAAATTCAGCTCCCACCGGTTTGGAGTAGATGAAAGCTCGCGCGAGAGCTATAAGCATTGTTGTTTTTACCGCACCAATTCGCAGATTCTGGACTAGTGTCCGGACAATGTATCGACTCTCCTCCGCGCCTCGTGTATCCTGTAGAAGCTTCTCGACGATCCTCTGTTTAGTCTCTTGACTACCGGTCCCCTTGCTTGTAGCGATTTTCATAAGGGCTTGGTAGACGCCCTTGATCTTCAATGGCTTTGGTTTGACAAGCGTGAAGGATTGTCGTTTCTTAGCTTCGAATGCTACATCCCCTGCATCACCATGTTTATCGTACAGTGATTTGAGACTTTGATTGTCGAGACCATAGATCTTTTTCAGTGCTTTTGAAATAGACGACCCTCCTAGACCTAGCTCTAGTTCATCGTATGGAGGCGATATCGAGTTGGTTGCTAGCCACACCGCGGGAAGGATACTCGATGGGTCTCCTTCAATCAATACCCGAAGGAAGTTGACGAGCGTATCGACGATTTTGATTCGGCTGGTAGTTGCATTCGCCAGAACAAAAGCCCTTGTTAACAAAGCATAGGAAGCACCTCCGCCTTGGCTAGCCCAATGCGACTGCAATTCCGCTGCGTACTGACTAGCATCAAATGCCTGGGGACTTTGGTCGAACGGAATAGCAAGGGATGTGATATCCTCTGTATTTGCAGAGGACTGCAGCGATAAAGTGTTCTTTTTTGGAGTCACTGGAGGTAGACTCGAAGGTATTGAAGTAGACGGCGCTGCATTGATTTGCAGATCTGCTTGCGTGTTTTCATTTAAAGAACTGATATTCTCTGAAGCAGTTTCCGGTGTATTGTCTTGGGCATTTTCTTGAGCATTCCATTCCGCTTGTAACCTACGCGCCAGAGCTTCATCCGAGAGTGTTTGCTCGGTGACGTCGGGCTCCGTTGGATTTGGTTGTTCGGTCTGGCCCTTGAAGAACGATTTAATACTGCGCATCGGCTGAGGAGATGAATTGGCCCCATTTCTCTTGCGCTTCTTGGCTGGGCTGGACATTATTAAAGGCGTGCGAGAGCAAAGAGAGACGGCGCATGGTTGCCACCTGAGGGTTGCGGAAGACGTCAGCCCAAAGGCGGAGGATCAACATTCGCGACACCTTGCGCTTCCGCAGTTAATTTTCCTCCTCCAACAATGGCGCCTCTCACGGCTTTATCTTCGCATGAGCGGAATCGGGTCGAAGATTATTTGAATGACAAGATCCAGGTCTCTGCCGATCTTGAGAGTTTAGATTCGCTATTATCGAGCCTCCGCGCGCAACAGGAGCTTCAGCGGAAACAGGTACCACCCCTCACCACCCCGAATTTCTCTTCCGCCAAGCATAGCTAATACGGAGCCTTGTCAAACAGCTAGCAGAAGCCCACGAAGCATTATCTAGCGCAACAAAAGCCTCCGATGACCATGCTGAAGCCACTCGAAAGCAAGCCGAGGCATTCACCCACGACCAAGCGGACATCGATCGACGGCTAAAGGCTATCACACAATCTGAGACCAGCGATGAGGCAGCACGCAGTCTTGAAAAGAGCATGGAGAGACTCCAACGGCTTGAGGTCTCTAAGGGATACGTGGAACTCCTCAAGGAAGCCGAGGAATTGAGGTAATGACATCTTCGCTAATCGTCAAGGACTACATACTGAGACTGTGATACAGCAAGCAAGCTTTGGCAAACCTTACCTCCGAACCCCGCGCCGCCTTGAAACCATATTCTCGACTGCGAACGATCGTCGGATCACTGAAGGATGCCCAACCTGCTGCCGAGGGAGCAGCCCCTCACCTCGTCGACTACACAGAGAAGCTGGCATTTGCACTGAGACAGCAGATGAAAGAATACTTTGGCAATAACTTGAAGAAGACGTTAGAAGAGCTGAAATGGCCGACACGAGAGTTGAACATTACCGATCAGCTTCTAGCTCGCTGGAGACAAGACGTTGAGCTCTTGATCGACCTCCAAGCACCGTATGATCAATCCGCTCGTGGATTTGAGCGCACATGCTGACCTCTTATCCCAGGGAACTCCAAAATCGTGATGCATTAGGATCGGGTATGGCTCTCGAGCCACCGGTTTTGTTCCCATTGGAGGTTATGGTGCATCCTCTAGATCTCCGATTCAAGTACCACTTTAGCGGGGACAAACCGACAAACAGACTTGACAAGGTAAGGCGATATCAAGCTATTACTGAAGCAACTTTCTGATAACCTTACAGCCTGAATATTTCCTCTCACATATCATGGACCTGATCAACCAATACGGCGGGTTCTTTGTGTCCTATTTGCAGCCTATCCTCGACGAAAAAGCTCAAGCTCTTGGATCGGGTCTGGACTGGAACTTTTATAATGCGTCTCACAGTTTCATTACGGCAGTAATTCCGATGCTGACCCAAAAGATCAGCTTATTCCTCCCTCAGATCTCAAACTACCCTCAATTACTCAGCCACTTCATTCACGAACTGATGAACTTTGACAATGAGATAAGGGAAACATGGAACTATCTACCAGACCCATATGCGGACGACAACTGGAAGGGTATGACGTGGGAAGTATTAACAAGGCAGGGCTGGTATGATCGCTGGCTTCAGGTCGAGAAGGACTTTGCGCTGGCGCGATACAAAGACATCATTGACACGGCGGACAGCGGAGAGATTGATTACGATGGCATGGAACTCACGGCAACGAAACCAACCAAGGCTGCAATCCGCGTGAATGATCTTCTCGAAACCATCACCGAGCGCTACCAGCCTCTATCGTCTTTCAGCCAAAAGCTACGCTTTCTCATTGACATCCAAATTACAATCTTCGACCAATTCCATGAACGCCTCTATTCTGCTCTCGAAGCATACCTTGCAAGGACATCTACGCTTGGACGCACTGTGCAGGGAGCTGACGGGCAAGCCAGTGTGGAAGGTGTTGCCGGCCTGGAGCGACTATGCAGGGTATTTGGCAGTGCCGAGTACCTGGAAAAGAAGATGGAGGATTGGAGCAACGATGTATTCTTCGTTGAGCTCTGGTCTGAGCTTCAGGATCGGGTCCTACAAAACCGAGACAGCGGTCGAAACGTGGCTGGCACTATGTCCGTTGCCGAGGTCGCGTCGCGTACCTCGCCTGCTGTCACCAACAACAATGGTACACACACCGAGACCTCGTCAGACGGTGCTCTCTTCGATGAGACGGCATCCGCCTACCGTCGTCTACGACTCCGCTCCGAAACCATCATCACCTCTACCCTCTCTTCCAATGTCCTTGCTGCTTTGAAGCCCTACTCTCGGGTATCTACCTGGGCTACACTATCAACCCCCTCTGCCACGGCGACGGCATCCCCCCTTTCTCCGTCTTCTGAAGTCGCCCATGCTATGCGTACATTGTCTACCCAACTCTCCTTCCTATCTCACGCATTGGGAACCGCACCTTTGCGGCGAGTCTCGCGCCACCTTCTTTTATCCATTCAGGCTTTTATTTGGGATAGCGTTTTGACCAAAAATACCTTTTCTACTACCGGAGCGGCTCAGCTTGCCAGCGATGTCGATCACCTGTGTAACGTGGTAGATGCTGCTCTGGGAGCATCCAACCACGCAGGGATCTCCATGCGTACTATCAAAAAGCTTACCGAGGGATTACGCATTCTTTGCTTGAGTGCCGTTGAGCAAGAGGGCGACGCCCCCGCAAAGGATGATGCGGCTTTAGGGCTGTGGGATGTGGAAAAGAGGCTCTTCAGGGATAACGAGAGCGCACGAGGCGTACTTGCTGAACTGGAAATTGACTCTCTGTCTGAAGCCGAGGCTCGATCTGTGTTGGAACGCAGAGTCGAGATTGGCAGTTGACAGTTTCGATAGCAATCTATACCCATATTACTCTTATTCTATTTTACCTAGCTCCTGTGTCAAGCGTTACTTCGTATGTTTGCTTACCACTGCGTAGGTCATTTCCCTGGATTACCAGATTATTTGTTTCAATTGATCTATGAATCTTGTACATCATGTCCCGTCTCTCGTATCTAAAAAATCTATAAGTTATGTATGAATAAGTCACAAGTCTGATACCACGTATCCTCTCAGGAACGATGGACCACAGGCCCATGTCCATGTTCACCAAGCCGCTTTTGAGGGACGGCCGAGTTACCAGCCTTCAATCCCTCAACAATGCCAGGGCCCACTTCTTCAATGGCGTGGACGAGTGAATCGACAGTCTCAGTGGTTGTTTGGACATTCACCACGCAACGGAAGAACTTTCCATTTCCAACAGCATCGTCATCGCCACTGGGAGGCGCAAAGTCCACCATGAAGCCCTTGGGTACAATAGCATGAGTAACCTGCTCAGTGACCTTACTGTTGTTCTTCGCGCGCTGTGCTTCATTCGAGACAACGCCGCGCGGGTAGACGAACTCTTTGCCCGGTGTGTAGTAGAAGCACACCTGCAGACAAGGCGGGGGGTTCTCGCTGATAAGAGTGAAATCGGGATGTTGGTCGATGGTGCTAGCCAAGTGTGCGGCGATGTCGCATGCCGTGTCGATCTGCTGCTCGTATCCCTCGCTACCGTAGTATGTCCAGCCCAAGAACAGCTTCAGGGAATCTGCACGGCGGCCACATTGAAGAGTGAGGTCTGCCAGATCCCACACTTCCGGCGATTCAATTTCCAATTCTGACTCTCCATCGCCGTTTGCAGTAGGTTCAGTGTCTTCGTTATGGAACAGATACCCAGCAGGAAGGGTGTTCGCCTTGTGGAATTGGCGCATGTCCGATGCGAGCAGGAACGAGCATGTCACAGGCACGCCGAGCATCTTGTGCGGGTTGATGGCGATACTGTTCGCCTTCTCTGCGCCGGCCAGCTTATGCTTTTGTCGCTCGGAGAAGACAAATGAGCCACCCCAGGATCCGTCGATGTGGAACCACATGTTATACTTCTGACAGATCGCAGCAATCTCGTTGAAAGGATCGAAAGAGCCCAAGACCGTTGTACCCGCAGTAGCATTGACATAGAATGGTGTCCGACCTTCGCTTTGGGCCTTCTGGGCCAGTTTTTCTAGTTCGGCTGGAATCATCCGGCCTACATTGTCAATTGGAACGGGCCAGACAGCACTGCTGCCAAATCCGAGCATCTGCGCTGCCTTTTCTACACTGTAGTGGCCATGGGCGCTGGTGAAGAGCACGAACTTGTAACCGCCATTACCGTCCGACTTCGTGCTCGGGTAGAGGTTGTTGCGCGCAATGACAATAGATGTAGTGTTCGATGCTGACCCTCCCTGGACTGAGATACCTCCTGCCCGCGGGCCGTTCAATCCAAAGAGGTTCGCCAACCGCTGGCCAGTAAACTTCTCAATCACAGTGAGCGCAGGCGAAACTTGGTAGACGTGTACATTGGTGTTCAAGGTAGCGAGGATGAGCTCTGCCGCGACACCGGGGGCATTGGTTGACGCATAGAGCTTGTCCAAGAATCCTTGGTGCCAGGTGTTGACCGAGTATTGCAGAACCTTCTGGAGAGTCTCGATCAGACCTTCCTGCCCTGTGCCCTTTTCTGGGATATCGAGCTGGAGAATGTCCCGCAGCTCTTCGGGCTTCTTGTAGTCTACCAGCGATGTTCCTGCCAGGCCGGTATGTCCATTGGCACCATTCTTTTTTGAGGACACGCGGGGATTCTCGTCTGCGGATCGAATGAATGGGATGAGAAGGTCTTCCACTGCTTTCAGAAGCTATCCAATGGACATGTCAGTTAATGGGCCTTGAAAAGAGGATCCAACGTCTGACTGTAGATCATTGCGGGCACAGTTGACTCACATTTTGCACTTCTTCAGCGCGGTTGGTGCATGGCGCAATGCCCGACATTTGTACAAATGCTCACGTGTAATATGCACAAGAGTAAAGAGAATCAATTGATTCTATGTGAAGACAAAGAAAAGAGGAAAAACGAACCGGATGGCGGGGGAAAAAAGTTCCCATGCGGCGATCTCGGAGATGGCGACAATCCCGCAGAGCTTGACATCATCCGTGAGATACTATAAATGTACAATTTACTGCCTATCAGTTATTTCTCCATGGATATAGATATAACTATGATTTGTTGCTGCAATTCGATGCCAACTACAGAATACTATAATTAAGATTGGGGCGAATCTGCAGGAACCCGCACTGTGCGCCATGCTGCATTGTTCCACAGAGGAGCTACATGTATACATCTAACAGCCACAATCTATAACTATGTTCAGTCTGTTCAAGTCTTTAGGTGACAATGAAGCAATTGGAAGATAAATCAACACTTTTTAGTTGATAACTTATGTCTCTATCTGGTAATATGCCGTGATTCAATCCCTCATTCGGTAGATGCAGGCTGGTTCTCACCAGCACTTGCCTCCCTGGCTGCTGCAAACCGGGCCCGCGCCAACTCGATTTTAGACTTGGGACGCTCGGCACCTTCATTGTACTCAGTTCGCTCCTCAATACCCTTGGCCTTGCGAGTCCACTCGCCCCGTCGGCGCTTGAAGAGATCCATGGACCAGTTGCGCCAGACTGCGCGGCCCAAGAAGGAATCACGAAGGGCCATTTCATTCTGGGAGAGTTCTTGCGCCATGCGCTCCTTGACGAAGAAGATGTCCTTGGTTGCGGACCAGAGGGCATCAACGACACGAGACCCGCTGCTGTTCAGAGCAAGCTCCATCAAATGGCCCTGGAAGCGGGTAGTGAGTTGTCGGCGGATTTGAGTGGTGGATGTAGAGGAAGTCAGCGCCTGCTGGACGACGCGAGAAGATGTGGGTTCTTGAGAAAGTTGGATAATGACGTGGGAGGGCTGCGCAAGCAGACTTGTGTAGACAAGTTGGCTGAGCGGGCCAGGGACCGTCAGCATGGCTTGAACCAGGAGTGAGCCATGCAGTTTCTCTGCTTTCTCCGCTGCAGATTCTTGAGGCGCAAAGCGAGGTTTGCGGCCATTCTCCTCGTCACCATCCATATTGTGGTCTCCGGATTGCGAAGCTGGCTTCTCTGAAGGAGTAAACTTGAGCATTTGCTGTAGTCTGAGGATAGGGTCCTTGTCGTAAGCACCCTCAAGTGCTTCAGCGAGAGGCTTCGTGTCGACACTACGAGCGACGCATCGCTCAATCAACACCTTGGGGACAATGAGTCTTGATCTTTCAATCAAGCCTGTCACTTCGGGAACAATATGATCCATAGCAATCTTCAAATCATCCTTGCCGAGTCTTTCCAAGATCCGAAGGACTACATATCCAGCAGTGCTGTTTCGTGAAAGAGACCCGATGCGATCGCTCAAGTTGTTTCTGTAGAGGTTCTTGAATGCTTTGCCAGGAAGATACCGCACCATTGTCTCTAACAAACGAGAGCCAACCGGATCGTAGAGAAGTCCGCGAATAAAGATTGCGCTGTCTGATTCCTCCTCGAATGACTCGTCTGGAACCAGTCGCCGGATAGTAGACTTGGGATCTTTGGCACTTGATTTTCCAAAATGGGAAAGCTCCAAGAATAAAAGGACCTGAAGCACCGGGTTACCCACTGGATGGGTGGCCAGGGCTCGTAAATAGGTATCGTCGAGACCGGAGACCATATCACTCATGATCTTCTTAAGTGCTGGCTCAAAAGACTCTGGCACGTTCCGCTTTTGCTTTTCGGGTTGTGTCTTCTCTTCTCCCTGAACGATTGGGATGTCTATTCTTTCCTTCTTGCGACTTGCGACAATTGACTCGTTCGACGTGACATCCACTGGCTCACCGGCAAGAACCAGAAGCAGCACTCGGATAGTGTGCGACGCAAAGCGCTCCGTCAACAGGAAACCCCAGTTCTCTTTCAGCTCCTCGATAACGGCCATGAACATCTCTGCGAGGGACAGTTCAGGCTCCTCCTCTTCATTTTCTTCGTCTGACTTCTTGGCCTGTGCTTTGGATGCCTTTTGCATGACCGCAGGCGCAGCATGGATAAAAAGTGTTTCGCAGCAGTGACTGGCGAATCGGTGTTGCACCAGGTGGAGGAAATGGCCAACGAATTTGCTAAAGATTCGACGCAATTGCCGAGCGTCTGACATTGAGATCAACTTTTCCATGAGTCTCGAGCAACCCTGACTACAGGCGATCTTCAATTCCTTGCCGTTGGCCTCTGAGTACACACTGTCGACGAACAAGCTGCGCTCTTCGGCGTCTTGGAATTGGTTCAACTCCAGCATTTCGTTGGCGCGAGAAAAATATTCCGACTCTTCCTCGTCGAGAAGACCGTAGAAGGGCATATCACCAGAATCCTCCTGACCCTGTGTGTCCATCTCTTCTCCCTGGTCTAAGGGAATATAATCCTCATTGTGCTCAAAGTTTTCGTGGTGTTGCTGTTCGATGGTCTCGTCGGCCTCATCGGTAGAGGGCTTCATGCGTTTCGCGACGGGGGCATCGGGCGCTTCCTCGAACTTTCGCTTGGATTCATCCTTCTGAGCTTTTTTCTCGGCCCTGCGGCCTCTCTTCTCCTTTTCGCGAGGCATTATAGTGGTGTGTGATGAGGAAAGATGCGCCTGGATCGCTGGAAATTTTTTGGATAAGCGGTGGTCCAAGCGTCTCCGCGGCGCAAGAAGTTTGCTCTGTTTGCAGTTGCTATCAATTATCAAGCCAAATATTAACAAGAAACACAGAGTATTACAATTGGATTCATATGACATAAATAATATACAAATTCCCTTACTTCTTTTATACAGCAGAATAAATAGCAGAGACATGACGTCCACACTCCACCCGTTGCTCCATGCTCACAGTGCGCTTGCCAACCTTGCCCTTGTGACGGGGAATGATCTGCAATCGCGCCTCCGCCTGAGTTTTCTTTGATTCAGGAGGAGCATTGATATGGATTGGCTTGCACTGGTTGCTGCGTTTGCCTGTGCCGAGCTGGAAGTGCTCGTTGCCTCCCCACCACAGCACATCATAGCCCCAATCTTTGGATTGGTCCAGGGAGTCCTTGGCTGTCTTGCCGACATTGGTCTTGTTGTCGAGCACAGCCGAAACATGGGTAGTACCGACAGAGATATCCCGAAGACGGATGGGCGACATTTCATTCTTTTTCTCGTCGAACTCGCCCATGCCGCTCAAAGCCTTCACCTTGGTGGGCGCATCTTGCATGTGGATCCATTTGCCATTGCCGAGAGTACCCCAGATTCCCCTACCACAAGACCATGTATCTGCAGTCACCACTCCCAGATCGCGGACATCGGTAGGGTCTTCCTTGGGTGCCAAAACACGCTTGGCATCAACGGTGAAAAAAGTGTTCGCACCACCGGCAGCAATGCTGGTGACCTTTGGCAAATATGAATTCTTTTTATAAAGCTTTTCCACGTCCAGAATGAAAGGAGCATCCCTGAATGATCGTTCTACGTCCCAATCGACACCCAGTTGGCCGAGGGAGTTATCACCAAATGCGAACATGTGACCATCCTTGCTCAATGCTAGAGAGTGATAATCTCCTGCCGCAATTTGGACAATCTTGAAGCCCTTAAGAGCTGTGATTTCATGACAAGAATCCGCCGGCCCTTTGGGCCTGGTTGACCAGGTGAGTCCCTCAACACCAAGTTGGCCAAGGGAAGGGTATTTCTCGGTAGAGGATGCCGCTGAGAAGACTCGACCGGAGCTTGTGAGAAGAAGCACATGTTCCTGTCCACCACTGATTGTGATGACCTTCTCACCCAGCTTCAAAGATGGCTCCAACACACGATAGCTTAGTTTAGACTGGTTGGCCCAAAATGGGATCCATGAACTCTCCTGTGCCCTTGTGCCACCCATTTGCTCACTTTTGGATGTCGGTAAGGAGTATACAGTTCCATCGGAGGAAAGCGCAATGACTCGGCTTTCCGACAGAGCGAGTGAGGTGAGGTTTTTGCCGGTCAGAGTCTCAGTGGGCTTGTATTCCGTCTCCGAGAAGCCATAGCCCCATTGGACTAGATCTCCATTTTCAGTAATTGCTGCACCGGACTTTTCCTCGATCTTGAGATCTCTCAGTACTTGGCCGTTGAAGTATTTGAACCGTCGCGGGACCTTGATGTCTGTGTCTTTAGATTCAGGGTCCACCACACGATGAACGTTGGAACCCCATGTGTAGACGGCGGGGCTTTTGAGGCTTCGCTTTTCTTGAACGAACTGAGCACGGAGATCGTTGACGTCGATGACTTCCTTCTTCGTTGGCACCGGAGCACTAGTCCAAGCTTCCTTTCCATCGGTTATATAAGAATAGCCCAAAACGGCTGCAGTTCCTGTCACTGCAAATAAAAGGGAGTTGCGAACCCAGTGCGATGAGCCCGACTGAGGTTTATGTTGGCTGCTCGCAAATCGGGACCATGGTGCATTGAGTGACTGGGCCGGAGCTCTGGGAGGGCGAAAGGCGAGGACCGAGCGTGTCGCAGGCCGTCGCATATGTGTGGACAGCATCGTAGAATATGGGATCATCAACTAGACCATATCAAGCCCAAGCAGCTGGCAAAGCAAATGTTGTATCCGGGGAGCTCGAAATGTCGGGCCTATGATTTGTTGCGTCAGATGGAGGCGGCAGCTCGTGGCAGAACATCTCTCAACAGCGGGACCGGAGTTGACCACATCGCAGGTCGGCTTCAACATTCTACTCGGCCCGAAATACACTCTGGAAAAAGCCAGCAGAGAGCTATGAGCTGCAGGTTGATCTCGAAGACACTCCCCGGGACTTGAATGCACCATGCCTTCCACGAAACAGCAACGAGCCCGCCGCCAGACCGCTCCCTCTGGCCCGCCGCGCAAACCCACCGCATATGAAACTCAGCCAGCCCTCGACACGCCGCAGGAGGAGTCCCCTAGCTCTCTCCAGTGGAAAGCTCCGGGTTGGAACAATGAACTCGAGTTCTCACAATGGCTCAATGGTGTCAAGGATGACCTAATTGAAGAGAGCTACGACGAATACACGTACGGCCCCTAATTGAATATAGGTTCGAATCTTTGCTGATTAGAGCTTATCTAGGAACTGTTTAGATGAGCTCGAACAATCGAAAGAACACATTGACGAAATATTGGCGAATACCTTGACCCTTCTGGACGACCTATCCAGCTTGTCCGAATCGTTCAAGTCAGTCGAGACCCAGACATCGAACTTTGAGAAGCAATGCGAGGGGCTTTTGTCCGCCCAGGAACGTGATACAAAGCTTGCAAATGGGATCCAGAACAATCTTCACTACTATGATTTCCTGGACCCAGCTTCGCGACGGCTTAATGCCCCCGGTGCAGGAAATACTGTCCGCGATAAGGAGTTCTCGGATATGCTGAGACGTCTTGACGTGTGCTTGGACTATATGGAGACGCATGTGAGTGAATTCGCTTTCGAAACATGTCCATGGCTAACCCAACGCAGATGGACCAAAAAGAGGCAGAGGTTTATCGCTCCAGATATCGACTACTGTTAACGCGTGCTCTAACGCTCATCCGAGGGAATTTTGTTTCTTCACTCAAAGATATCTATCAGAGCGTCTCCAAAAAGATTTCAGATCAGCAATTGAACGACACAGCCTTGTCCGCTCTCTTGTATGCCAAGTTTAGGGTCGGAGCGCCTGAGCTGAAGCAAATTGGGGTCGAAATTCAGAAACGAGCTGTTCCACCACTCAACCCAGACCAAAACAACGAAGCCGAATACCAAAGTCTTATGAATGAGCTCCACAGCAACTACTCGGCTACCCGTACACGGCTGATCATTCCACTCGCCCGCAAAAAGCTTGGTGAAATTACCCAGATGCCTAGTTCTTCTACGGACCTAGTTGCCTTTGCTCGCGCAAGTATCAGTTATATTCGTGGAGTTTGTCTAGACGAGTATGATCTATGGGGAGAATGGTTCCATGGACAGGGAGGTTTATACGACTTCCTCGAAACACTATGCGAGCCACTCTATGACCATCTCCGCCCTCGAATCATCCACGAGTCTGACATCGTCAGACTCTGCCAACTGTGCACCCTTCTACAAACCCGCTATTTCTCGGACCCAGAAGACGAGCCAGAACAAGTCGAAACAAACCACCTTGACTTTTCTGTTTTAATTCAGCCAGCTTTACAAGATGTTCAAGCCCGGCTTGTCTTCCGCGCATTGGCCGTTCTGCAAGACGAAATTGAACGATACAAGCCTCGCCCGGAAGACATCGACTACCCCATGCGCAACCGCCAAGTATCCCTGACCGTGTCAGACACCCAGATCTCAGGCAAGAAAGACACATCTGCCGCTACCATGATCGACATGACAGCCAAGCAAGGCGACGATAACGGTGAATCACAAGAGCAATATGGGAAATGGGACTTTGAGACCCAAACCGCTCTCAAGGGCTGGTACCCGACCCTACGAAAAGCGATCTGGCTCTTAAGCCGGATCTACCGCCTAGTGAACGTAAGAGCCATTCCCGTTTGCCACCCAGAGAATAAACCACCAAGCTAACAAACCCCCAGTCCACCGTCTTCGACGACCTAGCCCACCAAATAGTCCACCAAACAACCCTCTCCCTCCAAGAAGCCAGCACCCAAATCTCCGCCAAATCCACACAAGCAGACAGCCAACTCTTCCTAATGAGCCACCTCCTAATCCTAAAACAACAAATCGTAGCCTTCGACATCGAATACGTCGCCCCAGAAGTCTCCTTCGACTTCTCCGGCGTGACAAGCACATTCTGGGAACTCCGCGAACGCGGCGGCCTCTTCAACCCGCGTAACCTAATGCGACTCGTCGGCCATGGCCTAATCCCACGCGTTGTGGAGAACATGCTTGACGCAAAAGTCGAGCTGGACGGGCGGCTCCGGACTGTCATCAACGACTTCATCAATGCGTTCGCGGCGCGCATGACTGCTTCGCTGCCGGCTAAGTTTGTCGATACGAGGAATTTGCAGCGCGGGGAACTTATCCTGCCTTCTTGTCGGACTATTGAGAAGGAGGTTCCTGTACTGAGGAAGATTCTCAATGAGTATATTGATGATACGCGCATGAAGGAGACGCTTGTTGGGGCTGTGCAGGACCGCACGATTCAGATTTATGAGGATTTCTTTGAAAAGTATATCTCCTCCGAGAAGGGGAAGGGTGTTTCGGTTAGTAGGAAGGGGAAGGGTCGTGAAGATGCTGTCTGGGATGTTAATACCTTTGCGGAGTGGTGCGAGGGTATTTTCCGGGTTGGCGTTGCTGGCTTGCAGGCCGATGTTCCTGAGGATGATGATGATGATCTTTTGAGTACCAGCTCTTAGGGTTTGATGGCTTCTTTTCTTATAATTTTTACCTAAACCCCCTTCGCATCTTGAGCATAGATACCGCGTGGAATGGCGCAACTCTGTACATAAGCCTGAAATACGAATATGTGATCTTTTCAGATGCTGCTCTTCCAGGTTACTGATGTATATATATAGTACAGCAGCTCGTAAAGGAAATATCCAGTATCCCAAATTCATGTCATGATCCACAGGCAAAGTGTGTATGTACAGCTGACTGGGAAGCCCCAGAAACCATCTAGTATCGCTTCAAAACTAAAAGACAGGGATGGGGTATGTACGATCCAAAGAAAGGACGAAATCCAAGACTCAAAAACCAATCGAAAAAGCCCGGCTCACGCTAAGGAGAAAGAAAAGAATAAACACCTCAGACGCGAATCTTAGCGTACAACGCCGTGTCCAGGAAGTTATAGTTTGGATCGGATTCACAGAAGGGGTGGCGTGTGAGCAGAGTTCCGGCAGTAGGACGTTCAGCCGAGTCGCTGGATAAAACGTTAGCTATGATCGACAGCAGCGAAGGGTAGAAGGAGTTGGACATACATTGTAAAGCAGTCATACATGAACGCAAGAGCCGCCGGACTAATGTTCAGAGACACATCCTCTGGAATAGGAGGAGCCTGACTCAGACTTCCGAGCTTGAAGATGGCACCGATGGCCTCCTCCTTGCTCCACGGTCTTCGGCCAGCGAACATCTCCAATACCACACAGCCAAGAGACCAGATATCGACCTTGGCACTGTATCCCTGGCCTTGGGACTGGATGACTTCGGGAGCCATCCAGAAGACAGAACCCTGCATTGAGTTTGTCGAGTCGTTGCCGTAGATATCATCTGTTTTCTTGGAAATACCGAAATCAGAAATCTTGCAGGTTCCATCGAGATCCAAGAGGATATTGTCTGCTTTCAGGTCTCGGTGGAGGATTCCCTTGTCGTGCAGGTAAGCCAAACCACTTAGTGTTTGCTGCGTGAGCGATTTCACAACACTCTCCTCGAACTTGCCGTGTTTGCGAAGACAACTTCCAATGGATCCACCAGAAATATACTCTAGGTAGATAGAGATGGAGAATTCGCCACGCTCGCAACCGAGATATTGCACGATGTTGGGATGTTCAAGGTGCTGCATGGTGTCGATTTCCTGATCCAATGCAGCGACCATTTCCTTGACTTTGTCTTTGTCTGTCCCCGCAATGCGGGGATTGATCTCGACCAATTTCACCGCCAAAACTTCACCATTGTCCGCGTTCATGCCTAGGTATACTCGGCCGTAGGTGCCCTTGCCGATAAGTTGACCGCGGATGATACGGAAAGTGGGCTGTCGCTGAGGAACAGAACCAGCATTCGATGCGACTTGGTTACTGTTCTGCGGAATGGGATCGAGCTGGCTGATCCGACTACCAGGTCGAGGCCTGATTTGCATGATCTTGGCGCCGAACATCTTTGTGCTCTTCCGGCGTAGAAGATCACCTGACTTTTGAGGACCAGCAGCGCTAACACTCTTCGTTCGGTTTGCTCCCTGGGCCACTTGACGAATAGACTTCATACGAGACAGACCACCGCCGCCACCACCACGTGCGATATTGCGCCGAGCAACAATACTAGCGTCCGGTGGTCTGACGGTAGCTGCATCAGATCCATAGGGATTGTTAGAAAGGGGAGTGGGATGCGGTATAGGCTGCGGGGTTTCCTTCTTTTCGTTGAAACTTGCATCATGCTCAGCATTAGTGACCTTGGGGGTGGGTGATGGAGGCTCATCCAAATAAGGAGCATCAAGATCAACGTCAGGGAAGAAGTCGTCAAGCTTGTCAATAACGCCTTCGACAGCAGGTCTGCTAGCCCAGACATCTCGGGCAAAAGAATCCCGACGAGGCAGCCTGTCATCTTCAGGCGACACGGGTTCGTAAGGGGTGGCAGAGAACGGTTCCCTGCCATCCGATGCATCTCCAGAACTGGGACCGGCCGTGCTGGGAGACTTGAAACGAACAGATAGTCCCTTGCTGAGCCGGTCTCCAGTTTTTAATGTGAGAGACGGCCTCTCTGACTTTCTGTCAGGCTCTGGTTCCGTTTCCTGTTCCTCCTGGGTTCTTGAAGGTCGGACTTGGAAAAGACCATCGTCTGAATCGTCGTCCGAATCATCTTCTGGCTGGGGAGTTCGCTGGAAGGACACTTGATTTTCTTCAAAGTCGAACTCCGGTCCAAAGGACTTGCGGGATTGCAATGTAGGCCTCGATGGACCGTCAATATCAGACTTTTCAGACGGTTGATTGGCGAACGATACTTCGGGCTGAGAATTCCTCGAGGAAGAGGGTCGCGAGTCTAATGGATGGTTAACAAAGAAACAAGAATCAAGGGCGTGGTACCCACCCAAAGTTGTTTTGCTTGACACTGTTCCAGCAGAGTCAAGTGTCCCAGGCCGATCCGACTCTGAGCCTACGCTATCCCCATTGGTAGGCGAAGATGGAGCCACCGAAGGCAATGGAGTGCCAATGGCACTTGTAATACGGCCAACACTGGCAATTGCAGCCCCAAGGCCGTGTGTTTGGACATCTGGCCGGGTTCGAGGGCGCTCACTAGGCCTTCTGCTGAGATAGCTAACCTCGCTAGGTCTTCTACTGAGGGAGTTGACCTTAGTGAGGGTGTTGGATTCAACCGGTGCCATTGGCGGCTTGCGAAGTGGCACAAGCGACTCTCCCTTCTTTTCATCGTAAGGCGAAATGCGAGGACTGTCGAAATCAATGACTTCGTTACGCCTGTAGCCAGTATCACCATAGGCATTGGCCTTTTGTTGAGACAGCGGCGCCTTGGAGAGGAAATATTGCTTTTGTTTTCGTTCAACTTCACGAAGATGTTCCTCATGGCGGGCGAGTAGATCGGCTTTCTCAGAATCTAGTCCCTGGTTCGGACCTGGAGTGGTTTCCGCAGGAGAGGTCTTCACTGGAGCTTTGATCGTGGTCTGCCGAGAGGCAAAGGATGGAGAGCTTGGCATAGCATGGTGCGGTGAAATGCGATTCAGGGCGTCTTCGTCTAGTGGCTTCCTGTGAACCTGGTGGTGCGTTGCGGTTGGAGACAAGCTCTGCTTGTCGGCGAACGAAACACCCAGGCCATCGACCCGAGGAGTAGTAGGAGGATGAATAGGTCCCCGCACAAACAGCTTGAGGGAACCATATTGGTCCGACTTGCTGCGGCGTGAGTGCGTGAGATTCGCATCGCTCAAAGGATTCTCGTGCTCAGTCTGGCCAGGCTCTGTGAGGAAAATCTGAGCACTGGTCCAGTCAGAGATTGCCATGTTTCGACAGATCTCAGCGCGGAGGTTCTCAACTGATTCCATGTCGGAGATATCAACCAGGCGGAAGTTCAATCCATCCACGGTCACAAAAGCCCATTTTTTGGTCTTTGTTGTACCCGTAGTTGGACGCTCGCCAACGGACAAATCACTAGAGTTATACCCAGGCTTTGAGTAGGGGAGGTAAGCCCCATAAGGACGAGTCTCTGGACTGGTAGTTGGCGATGAGTCGTCTTGCTGCTGCTCAGGAGATGGGTGACTGGAGTCATTGGGTCTTGTTTTCTTCTTGAGGAAACCCAAGAAGCCTTTACTGTGGTCTCTATACGAAGAAGGGGTATCTCCACTCCATTGGCGAGAATAGGCATCTTGTGGAGAGGGGCGCGCGCCTTCTTGGCCTTGTCTGCCATAGTACCGGGACGTGGAGCCCCTCCCAACACCTGGAATGGAGTCGGTGCTGTTCCCCCGAGAGTGGTCATATTTCAGGGATAAGTCCCCAGTAGATGATGTTGGATGTTGCGTATAAGCGGGTGTCACATGTGGCAAGGCTGGACTACCACTTTTCGGGCTACCCTCATGGGGTCGAAGGGTACCACCATGGATTGTACCACTTTCACTACCAATCGAAGGGCTCTGGCGTCGATGCTCGCCGATTCCAGCCAGGGCATTGCGCGAATAGTCAGATCGCAGCCAGGTTGGAGACTCGCGTGCGGGAGAGTCATATCTCGGCGAATCGTGAGCAGTAGGAACCGGCATCGTTACCGAACGCTGTCCAGCCAGCTTTTGGTTCTGATTGGCGGCTTGCAGCGCAGTGAGATGTTCCGGGCTCACATCGTTAGTACCAGCGATGGGACCAGCAGAACGCGGTTCGGGGAAATGATTAGAAAAGCACCCTAAACTACTATCAGGGAAAGCATTCGGCTGTGTCGGCTGCAAAGGCGTAGAAACCGTATCTTGCGAGCCATCGTGAATTTGACGAATCAGTTTGCGCATGCGCTTGCCTTCGTCTCGTTCACGGCCAGGATCCCATTTTGTACCATTTCGGCCACACTCTTTGGCCAACTGAGGATAAACCACCTGATGCATTTTGCCCAGGTTGCCTCGGCCGCCAGAGCCGTGGCCAAGCTCGAGGAAGTCGGCTCCTTGGAGTTCCAAAGACTTGAAAGTTTCCTGCCAGTCATTGGAGAAACCGTTTCTAGCGAGCCAAATGAGCACTCGCTCCAGCGGCCACTGAATCGCAGCCTCGCTGTGCGACAAACCGCCCAACGACGCACCGCTCGGGTTGTGGCGATGGCTTGACGACTTGACAATCTCACCAGCCTGGGGCTGGGAGCTGTCGTTGGATGTCAGTTCGTGAATGTTACCGTGAAGACCGAAAGATTGGGGAGCAGTGCGAGCCCCGGGAGTTTGGGGGAGGCTAGGGTCTAGTTTGTATGGAGCTTGTGTGTTGATAAGCTCATGCGGTTGGTTCATACCCAACCGTTGTCTTTCGGCCGTGGCGGAGTGCGAATACGGGTCATATTGAGCTCTTCCATGAGTGTCAAAGAGCCCCGGGATGCCGACTCCAATTGTGTCGTTGCCGGGTATGTAGGTGGCGGACGTCAACGGTTGGGACTCATTGGGAGGGCGCGGCGGGATTATCGATAACGGAGCCGGTGGGCGGCCATACGCTAGATGGTGGTTTTGTGCAGGGCCAGCAAGTGGAGGGGGCGGGGGTGGTGGGAAGCCTGGGGTCAGCGCCTGTCTGCCCCAGTTTTGCTGCTGCTGCCACCCTGTAGGAACTCCGTACGCTGTCGCTGGGGTATATGTCGACCCCGGAGGCGGTCCGGGGGGAGGAGGCGGTACAACTTGGCGAGGCGGAGGCGGAGGTAGGTTCATGGGATGTGTTTGGGATGAAGGCGGGGGCCCTGGGATATACTGCTGTCGTCCGTCCATTGTGAAGGCCAAAGCCAGCCCTGGCGCGTAATCTTCTGCAGGGTGGTTTGTCCTGCTGTCTCGGCTGCGACACCGAGGGGGTGCGGATGGAGGTCTTGTCGGGGTCGTTTAGATATGATCATCCACACATCATGCGATCAGGAAATAGTCAAGCAGCCGGGATTCAAAATTGAATCTTGACGATGGTCAAAGCAGGAACCAGGGGATGCAAAATCAAGTGTCCGATCCGGCTGACATTTGACATGTTTCGGCGTCCCCGAAACTATCGCGCCCGAAATTGCAGACCAGACCGAGATCGCGAGGGGGCTGGGTGACAGGTCGGGATAGTTGCAAGACAGAAGATATTAGGTCGCCAACGTTGCCCGCTTATCTTCAGATACCAGCCGAGAACCTTTCGTTGATCAGAATGAGCAAGCGGAAGCGACAGAAACCACTCCTTGCGTCGACCTTCTCGAACACGAATCCGCGAATGGAACTGGAATGCTCAGAGAAAGATATCTAACTGAACATTGACATGGATGATCGTCACGTGGCCCCGCTTGAGTGGAGTCTGCAGATACTGTATGTTTTCCGACTACCTACAGCCCTGGAGCACTTACATCCCCTGTCTTCACCCCGGCCTGAAATCTCCCCAAGTTTCACTCTGAGGGAACTAGCGTCGGTAGCGCGTACTTTCAATGGCCCTTCTTTGATTCATCTTCTGCATTGCTTTAAGGTGTTTCCGTCGAGATCTTCTTTGTCCATACGCTATTCTTGGAGTTTCCAATTTCCTCTTAGATTATAACGTCAGGTCTTGAACATATATTGCATTTGGTGAGCCTCAGATGCATGAGAAATTAATGCGCTACTAATTGACGGAAATCCAAATCGTGAGTATTATTTTCGAGTCGTAATCATCCCCGGTTGACATATCAAATGCCACATTTGTACATAGCCAAAAGCCCAGGCCCAAGCATAACCATAAACATTGCAAGCAAAAAGGAACACATGTCTATACCTAGAGCACAGTACCCTTGTTTTGCTCCTTGTCAACACGGTAGTTTTTCCACATACCGATAGCAGGGATCGCAAGCACGAGAACGGCGGTCGCGGAAATACATCCATACTTCTGATTGTAGCCATAAGCGTAGTTGATAGCCTCGCGGATCTCTGTACCTGGAATGTAGTTCATCTGGACAAGGTATCCACCGCTAAAGATGGTCGACGCCTGGTGCTTGGCACTCTCAGGCAGGGCATCCCGCAGTGCCTGGGGGAAGGTATTGGCATAGATGGCAGCGGCGACGGCGTAGCCGATAGCACCTCCCAAGTTCGAGAACAGAGAGACCAGGGAAATCATCATGGGGATGCCCTCGCGATCGGAGGCGCACATGACGGCCATTTGTTCACCAATGACCATCATACCACCGGCGAAAGAAATGAAGATCTGGCACATGATCACATATCCAATGTCGCCATCGGAACCACGGAAGTGAATCATAAGGCCGGCTCCCAGGGTCATCAAGGGCAGAGCGAAGAAGAGACAGGTGTACTTGAACTCCTTGACATAGCGGATCCAGAGACCAAAGATCGGCGACCAGAAGCAGGAGCCGACGGTGTAGATGGAAGTCATGTAGCCAGTCATGGTCACGTCGAGGTTGTACACCACCATGACGAAGTAATAGTAGTACAGATCCCACGAGTAGAAGCTGAAGTAGAGAATAGCCGACAGAGCGCAGGCACCAAAGACGGTGCGGTCTCTGAAGAGCTGGTAAGGAATAAAGTGAGTGCGAGCGAACCACTTCTCCCAAGCAGCAAAGACGAAGAATAGACAGAAACCAATGACCAAGGGGGCAATGAAAGCGGCTTCCCTGTACTGGGCGCGGCCGTAGTTGGCCAAGCTGAACGGCAGGAGAAAGAGGATGAAGGCCGCCATAAGGATGAGAGCTCCAATAATGTCGAACTCGTGTATGTAGTGCACAATCGACTGCATGATAGTCCGGCCACTTGAGGGACGCTGCAGTACGCCCATCTTGCGAGCCTTGATCTCATAATACTTAAAGACACCTGCCAGAGGCAGGAACACAAACGGCTGGATAATGGCAAAGGCGCCGTAGGCCCAGCGCCAGTTGGCGGTCTTCAGGAAACTGGCAGCGGCCAACGAACCAGTGAACGCGGTGCAGATGAATGGGGTGGAGGCAAAGGCAAAGGCGAATGCACGGTTGCGCATGCCCGAGGTATCAGCGATGAAGATGTCCAGAATGACGTAGATCGCATCATATCCAACCCAATACAGAACGTAGCCGGCAGCGTAGCTGTTGGCATTGTTGCAAGATGCGAGAATGATAATACCGAGAAGGTACACAGCAGTGAAGATCACCAAAGCCTCAGCGCGTCCCCACAGAGTCAAGATCTTTCCAACGGGGAGCTTGAGCACTCCACCGACGATGCTCGCCAGGATGCTGGCAGTACTGACTTGCGAGGCATTCTTGAAGTTGGAGTAGGCATAGTAAAGAACGTTGTTGCCAATGGCAGAGTGCAATGCTAGCATGAAGAAGCAGACCCAGATCCTATAGATGACGATGTTAAGATGACATGTAGAGGTCTAGGGCTTTGCGTACTCACCAGGCATAGGTCGCATAAACAGCCTTCTTGCCCCAGACGAGAGCAACAGCCTCGGCTTTGCGCACACCGGCGGCAGCACCGGCAGTAATTTCATCAGGGTGTTCCTGAATCTCCTTCTCCGCACGAGCCAGGTTGCTCAGGTCACTATCGACCCTGTTTTGTTCGACATTGGCCTCATTCTTGGTCTCGGCCTCCTGGGTGGGACGCAGGTCCTCGACAACGGTATGGTCCCTCCGACCACGAGTCAGGTTGATGACACCCATTATAAGGGTGGTCGTGGAGGAACAGAAGAGAGAGAGAGAGAGAGAGAGAGTGTGTGTGTGTGTAAGAAGAAAGAAAGAGGGTGGGACCACTATTTCTACATGGGACCAAGTGTTGAAATTTACTTCCAGCTCCCTAATTAATTCGGCACTAAACCCAGTATAGCCCGGTAGTCCTTAAAAGGGACCGAGGAACCGGATCAGATAAGTTCAGCTCGAAAGGTCCAGATGGCTGATTGGACTACAGCAGCGAACGGATCCCCATCGCCAAGTCTGGCTGTCGGTAAACTTTGGCTAAGCAAATTACTTTGGCGGGCGGCAGACTTTTCTCTATACATTGTTTGTAAATTTATGTACATCGGCTCCAAAGAGTCGGTGCTCAGATGCAGATAGAATTGTAGACGGCTATTGTAGACTGACTGCAGACAAACATTGACGCATGCCTATAAGTTATGCCTAATCGGCGCACAAGCACGTTTTTCGGCTACCCCGGTAGAGAATACAACCACTTTCCGCGCCAAGGGCACTCTTGCCTTGGCCAGATACCAGGGAATCCACCCGAAATCGGCGACCCTGTACTCGGGCTCTGAAGACAGTAAGACAGTAACATGCTATGTGTACTGTAGAAGATTGAATTCCATTGTTCTTCGGATCCATGGATCTTATCAGATGATCAAAAATTATCAGATCACAGAATTATCAGATCAGAGAATTATCAGATCACTTGCTTAACTTTGGCTCATGTGACTATCTTCTACTTCTTCGGTACCTCAGAACTTTAGGATATGCTGATTTGCATTTTCGCCTGGGGCTTAAGCCACAGCCTCGCCCTAGCGTGAGCAGACTTACGTTCTCATTTGACTCTCCTTCCCCACTTGTGGCTCTAGTCAATGTCGGCTTGCGTTTTCCCGGTACATTGCCATGGATTCGGCGCATTTCCCCTTCTCTTTGTGTTCATATTTTCCAGAAAGGCGTTCCGAGACAAGTTCGCCTGAACGAAAGTGGGGAACAAAAACTCTGGCGTCAGATCTGATAACCTCAATCGTGGACTTTAGAACTTCTAGTGGGTTGCAGAAAGATATTGATCGAGTTGTTGCACACCTTCGTCCCAGGTAGAGGCTCGCGTTTCCAGACCAGTCCTCTTGCATTGCACAATCAGAAATTTGTTGGCTCGCTGTTGTGCAGACGGATACTGGTACGTATGCAAATCTGAAAACCCCAACTGCCCCGCTTGGCTGGTATGACGGTCTTGGGGGCGTGTCACATAGCCCTGTTGGACGGGGAATTGCCATGTAAGGATGATGTTCCAGACACCATACAGGACACTCTCGGGTCCAGCCCGAGTAACGCGGCTGATCTCTCGCTGAATGGCGGGAATATCGAAATAATTCTGATAATATTGACATCAGTGACCCTCTCCAACGTTCGTGAATATGTCAATCGTGATTCGGATCTCCGGCGGCAGTCGCGCAAGCGATTGTCTCAGTAATTCTACCATGATTTCCGGTTCTTTTGTTGCTAAAGCCTGTGTGATATCGCTCTTTGTCGGATACTTTCGTACAGCAAGTGTATTCAACATTGCTAAGAAAGGGGTATAAAGCCGGAGGTCTAATAAGCGCTCAATGAGCGCTCAGTGATTGTGATTAGGTGCTCACTGATCGCTCACTGATTACTCAGACTGATCAGAGGCTAATGCTGCTATGTGTAGTTATTTATGATAGAGCTCTGCTTCACTCCGAATCAATCAATTAATTGACCCATGAATCCGGTATATTGTATTCATTTACTGGTATATTGTGTGCTTATTTACTAGGCCATTGTATCTTTATTCTTAGCCTACTATGTATTCATTTAACAGCCCATTGTATTAACATCCTTATTGATAGAGCAGTAAACAATATGCCCAGGCATAGTTTGAATAGTGTTCAATAGTAAAAGTACGAGTGAATAATATGTCGATAGGTATATAAGATAACTGCAAGGTCGAGTTTCAATACTTCTTCTCAGACGTTTTCAACATGACTTTGGTAAGTCAAAGATTCCACTTGGGCATTTACGAGATTTCGGATTATAGCCGAACATCCGCTTACCGTGCCCATGCCACCAGACTCTGCGAACCATCTGTGTAAAGTCACACACTGACCCACTTCATGCAGTCTCCGCACCTCTAGCTATGAATAGTGATGCTTATTGTCTGGCTAGACGGAACGTACAGTCGTTAAAGGGTGTTCAGTGAAAATTTCCGCAGGCCCAACGCTTGTCTGGGGGCTATCCTTGGGACTAACTACGCCAAGTATAGAGGTAATTCTCTCAGTGCGAAGCCAATTGAAGAACATTGTCTCGTTTACCACTACAGTGAATGATCAGAGCTACTAGTTACTCATGGAAAGCTTGTACTCTTGCCAAGCATCAGATACGAAGTGCCTAATATGTTACGGAAACGGAAATTAAACTGGGAAATTATCTGCATTGCTTCGAGATTGTACAATAAAGAAACGGGGTAAACCCCAACCAGCAAGTAAATGTTGAGAAAGGGAGCCCTATTCGAAAGAATGCCAGATAGATCGACGCCGATGGAAGATGCAATGGGGGCCCCAAACAACCGTGTGAGCCCTGACCATATTTCATGAAATGCCCATCAAAAACAGGGGCTGGGTCATCAATGTCAAAGACAATCGGGATATTTTGAGCGCCTGGAAATGGAAGATATTGCAGAGCAGGTATCGAGAGATTGTACACAGAAATGGAAATTATGGCGGTCCCCGTACGGGACGGAAAATGGTAGCCGGGAACTCAACGGTAGGAACCTACGGCCATGTTAGCAAATCTGTTTGGAAACAATCAGAGGACGGATAGACTACCATTGTAATTCATGCCTCCATTCGGGGTTTGACCAGGCCCGCGGGGATTTTGCGGGATTTGAAGCTGGGCGATGTTGCTAGGGAGATCAATGCGACGAAGAAGATCAATCATCTTGTCAGCAGAAAGCCGGGAAATATTGTATGAAGATGCGGGAGGCATGATGCTCAGCAAGTTCACTACCTCACGAGGCAGAGGGGCTGGAGAGCCTTGGGCCTTGTATGAAGTGTTTTGGCCGTTCAACTGCTGCACTCGCTTGCTTTGGTCGAGGCGCCGAGCTTGGGCGCTCCTCATTGGGGACTCGGCGCGAATGAACTTTCGTGGGCGGTTTGAGTCATCATCGAAATCGTCGACGGGGTACGGTCTCTTTGGGGAATTAAGAGAGGGCTCCAAGTACCGTGGCATAGGAGACTCGTGGAAGTCCAAGGTGCCACCGGGAACAGTGGTCCTAGGCCGGGTCTGAGATGGCGACAGAATGAGACGCACGGCGGTGGGATCAAAGGAGGGGATAGAGTAACGATGGGCGAACTGTTCCAAGGCAGGATCCTCGGGGTATAGCTCGCGCATACGTTTCTCCAAGTTGACCACTTGAGTGAGATCGCCGTAGCGGGATTCATACCCGTGCAGGAAGGAAAAGATAGGCTTGGCCTTGTGAACATTCTCAGGAACCGATGTCAGTTTCCTCACGGTTGTTTCAAAAACGGCGCGGGCATCTTAGGCGTCGGTTAGCAATTTCTCTTAGAATGGTGCGGGGATTAACTTACTGGTAACATCGTTGATGTCGAGAAGATGCTTCAAGTACTCGAGCGCGAAGTTCTCATCCTCGGGGAACAGCTTTGCACCTCTCTCAAAGATTTTTGTAGCAGCGGGATCCTTGTAGCAATGGTACTCCATGAGAGCACTGGCGATATAAACATCGCTGGTGATCCGACCACGCTTTCGGGCTTCCGCAAAGACTTGCCGAGAGCCAGCCAATTCTCCAGGCTTGCCTTTGCCCTGGATGCGACGAATAGAACGCATGAGTGAGATCCATGCGAAGGAGACAGTCTTGGAGAGAATATTGATCTGGATGGAATGGGCTTTGCGAACAGCCTCAATCTGAGCTGTCTTGGCTGCTTCTCTTTCCTTTGTTTCCGGGTCGTCTTCCTCCTCGTTCCCGTTCTGAGTATGGCTCTCGGCATTCTGTGGGGCAAATGACTCTTCGATGCGAGCGACATCTTGGGATTCCCGAGTGCGGGCCTTGTTGATCAATTCATAGAGCGTGTCAAGAAGCTTGTCGTAAGGCTCCCGGACCTTGGCTGCTCGTTTGGCGGGGTCTTGATCGGCGTCAGTCACCATTTCCAAGCGGTCCGCGCGCTTGAAGGTTAGCAGACAGCTTTCTGGATTTGCATCGATGCCCTGTTTCAAGAAATCGATGCCTTCGGTTTCCATCTCGTTCGAAAAACAAAACTCGGCTGCGTCGAACCAAATTTCGGGCAAGAAGCTCAATGCCATGAGTGCTTGCTTGTAGACGTAGACCACGCGTGCTTTGAAAGCAGGAAGATCGTCCTCCTTGAGTACCAATGGGTCCTCTTTCTCCCATGCTATCCAACGCTTCCAGATCTCGGCCTGCGTCGAGAACTCAAAGTCGCCTTCAGAGCCTGGGACTGGGGGCAACCGAGGAAGCGAAGTACGGACCAAGTCGCGGGTGATATTCTGCAACTCGATGTGTGAGCTGCGCGCTGTCATGTAGGATGGCGACTGCTCTTGCAAGTATCTCCGACCCTGGTGGTGACAGTTAGTAAAGGCTAGTTGAACTGTGAGGAGGAGTGGCTTACCGTAAGCTTGTTCAAACCCATCTCGAATTGATCATACTCCTTCCAGAGAGTATTGACGGCCTGCGTTGGGACGGCAATGGCTCGCTGGTAAGCTTTCCGCAAAATATCCATCTTTTGCTGATCCTGCCACCCAGATCCACCGACGGTACCGGGCCCCGAACGAATAAACTCGATGTAGTCTGTCCAGATGTTTCCGCAGTCCTTGTCCATACCAACGTATTGAATAGCCAGGTCGTAAGCCGATGAGATGACGGCGCGCGCCTGTCCAGAGGTATCCGTAGTCAAAGGATTACGGCGACGGACGTAGTCCAGATAAACAGACCAGAGATTGACGCTGGGGATTGTCAGAAGCGTCCGATTGAAAAGTTGCTCCAGGCGGAAGAGTTCATTAAGTTCGGATTCCATGACAGCATACGCCACCCATTGATCAGCCTGGTATGATATTAGCAACATTGCACCTTAAGGAAGGGAAACTCAAGCTTACCGCCATGGGGAAAACCTTCAAAAAGTGTTCGTAGGTCTCACGGGCACTGTCCAGTCTGTTGCGGCTCCTGTGCTCGGCAATTAACTCCAACCACGCGGGAATATCACCTCGGGGATCCTCTTCAATTCGGTCTTGCAGGATCCCCACACGGTCATGGGGAAGACGACCCTTGGCAGAGGGAGAGTCAGGTACAGGGGTAGGATCAGTACTGGTCTGCATGTTTGTAGCCTGCACGTCCTGCGCAGTCCAGTGAGATTGGCCAAAAACAGAAGAAGGATCAATATTAGGGACATGAGCAGGAGAATAAGAACTATTGAGATCTGGCCCACTGATAGGACCTTGCGCAGCTTGCGATGATACATCCGGGGAAGTGTTTTGAATTGCATTTCCTGAACTGGGATCTTCAGACATGGTCACAGTCATATCATTTGCGTTCTCATCTCCAAGTACAGCTGGTGGCTCATAGTCCGCATCACCCTTGTCATCCTCATCATTGTCAACCTCAAATCCCCCGGTCGTTGTGGTCTGGGGTTCGGCCGCGTCACCGGATGGTGGAACGGGCGTTGACGTCTGAGACTCATCACGTGAGGGGTTCTGGGAAGGATCAAGAGCGTCGCCTGTCTGGCTAGCGTCCATGTCTGTAGCATCGGTGGGATTGGGGGTGTTATCATCCGTGGGAGTTGCGTCAGTGGGGGCATCGTGAGCCTGCATATGGTCGGGTACGGCAGTTGGGTAGTCATCTCCTAATGTCTGCGACGGGTCGTAATCATCTGAATCAGAGTTATCGCCCTCCTGCAGCTCGGCGGGGGCCGAGTCGGTCATGGTCTCGGACTGCTGAGCTTGGAAAAAAGCGGCTTCGGCTTCATCGTCCATGACGGGCGATTGCGAAAAGAGAAGCTGGAGAAGTTAGAAGTTAGAAGTTGCAAAGGTCAAGGCGCGAAGTGAGGTCAAATCAAATGAGGACCAAGACTCCGGAGGCTTTGCGACACAGCCACTGGAGAAGCTCAGCCGCAAGAAGGGAAGAGTTGAGGTTGCCCCGGTAGTGAGTCACGTGCGGGCGGTGAGCGCGATGCGAGGGACGCGAAGGCGCGTCGATCGTGGGCTCCTCGCATTGAGAGGGGCCGTCGAGAGTTAACTCCCTTTGCATTCCTGTGGACCTCTGTGTTTGTTTCCCTTCTTATTTCTCTTCCTTTATAATTCTTATTTGACATCTTCCTCCCCCTTGTCTATACCTTTCACTTCTTCCCAATCTTCTCATCCTCTCCCAACTACGTACATACACATATCTTATCACAATGTCCGTCGTCTCCCTTCTCGGGGTGAAAATCCTCAACAACCCGGCCGCCTTCACCGACTCTTATCGATTCGAAATCACCTTCGAGTGCTTGGAACAGCTCCAGAAAGGTGAGTAAAAAGTGA